AAAAAAAAAAAAAAAAAAAAAAAAAAAAAAAAAAAAAAAATCAACTGCTTTCCCCCCTCCTCACACCCCCCTTTTCTTTTTACTTTTCCTTCCTTTAGAAAAAAGGATTGAAGACAGAACATCAAAAAGTAATCCAACAAGAAATTAACCCAGGACAGAGAAAAGCCTAACATACAACACATGAAATACCTAACAGCACAGTCTGCAGAAAAATCAGTTTGCCAACAGCTACGTGAAAAACCATCTCTTATTTCCCACTACAATACAAAGCAGGATAAAGCTATAAATACTATGAACTGTCAATTTTCTTTCTTTTTTTTTTTTTTTTTTTTTTTTTTAAAATCAGTAGCTGCTTACAGACATTTCTGCAGGTGTTTAACTACTTAAAATTAAATCTCTCATTAAAAACAGTGCCTCGTTTGCAATAAGGCTGAATACATCTCAGATCTCTTCCCGGGATGAAGCAAACCAGTCAGCAAATCACATTTTTCTGCTTTGTTCGAAGTGATTGAAATCGTTCTTCTGAAAAAAGCAGTGAAGAAAGCATGGCCGAACAGAAATCTCTTGGCATTTAGTGAGTGATATTGGTGGTGGGTGGACAGCTAGACTAGATGATCTGAGAGGCTTTTTCCAAGCTTAATGATTCTATGATTCGGGAACATTGCAGCTAAACAATCAGTACAAAAAGTAAAAAGAAAAAAGATTGTTTTCCTTCACTACCTAGCTAAGCAAAGCATCCTCAGTACCAGACTATTCTTAGCCTATAAAGAAATAAAACAGAAATTGTTTTCAGCACCTCCCATGTAAGCCTCCAACATGTCTGCATGTCTGAGCATATGTAACTGGAAAACATGAAGACGTTGCTGTGGCTGGAAATCAGAGTAACCATGGGGCTTCGCGTTACAGCAGACAGTCCTGACCATTACAGCTCCCTGAGCTACAGATCCATTCACTCCACATCTTGTATGAACAATGAACGCCTGATCTGAGTGCTTCAGAACCTGCCCTGCAGGAGGGAAACAAGACAGAACTTCTCAAAATGAGACACTGAAATCAGCCACCTCTTTTAACAGCCTCTTCTTTTACCTAGCACATATCTATCAGGAAAGAGACAATTTCAAAAATTAACAAACGCTTTCCCAAAACAAGTAGTCTCACACAGTCACTTTCCGGTTCTCGTTATGGCACTTTCAGAAAGAAGAGAGTTCAGGTTGAAAGTGCACAGCCATCCTCCCTGACCAGCAGAGTAGAGTAGAAGTCAAGCACAACGAACAGCAAAACTTTCATTCCAGTATGCCAATACTGAGACTTCTACAAGTTAAGTCTTTTTTTTTGCTGCTGACAGTAACTGGTAAGTAATCTCCTGCTCTTTCTCAGCCAGTGAGGTTCTCCATTGCATCTCTCCTCTTCCACCTGTGCTGCTGAGCAATAGTGGGAACAGCTGGAGTCCCAAACCCACTGTAGCCCATATGGAGACCATCACAGGGCTCTGGTAACCTAAAGTATAGACAGAACATTGGTAACAAAACTTGGATTGGACATTGCCAGAGCATGAAATAATTGTCAGGAATCTTTTGTTATTGCAGTCATGGAGGAAATAAGGGGCAGATTCTTACACATGTGTAGATGACTATACTGGGCTGGTTTTGTCATCAGGCGAGAGACATTAGCTGTTATAGCCTGACTTCTCTTCACTGACTGCTCAGTGGTGTCAGGATCAGAGGAATGAGGCTGATCCTGGGGAGGAGCAGGTGGGGGAGGTGTCGTGGGTTTTGTGTTTCTCACTACCTACCCTGAACATGCACTGAGCTCCTGGACTCGAGCAGAATGACAAGGCACACGGCCACAAAGCTGGAGCTGCACAGCTGAGCATGCACAGCACTCTGGTGGGGCAGCTGCAACACTTTGCCAGATATTTCCCCAAGTCAGAAAGACTGTAGTGGACATTAAAAAAAATAAAACTAATAATTCAAGGGCAGGAAGGAAGTTACCTTTCAAGGGAGATATTGGGTCTCACAATCAGATAACAAGAGAGCCAAACAACATCTAGTTGGTTGCTTCCCCATTCCTAGCGTAGCCTGAGAGAGGGTTGTTACAGAACCAGATGGCAAAAGAAGAGAGAACACAGATGATGCCTGGTGTTCTGGAAAATCTCACTGAAGGAAATTCTCAGAAACTTGACAGTGCACACAACTGACACATTGAGAGAAGAAAAAAAAAAAAAAAGAAAGAAAGAAGAGAAAAATCAGCATTTTAATCCTCAAATAAAAGTTACTGCTAGATGCTGTTAAAATTGAGCTGTGATCAGATCTTACTGCTAGAACATCTCACAATCCTTGTGTTATTTTGAGGACTTCACCATAATTCTACTTTTGTGAAAACCAAAGGAGATCTCTAGACTCATTGCAAGTATTTATGAAAATTCATTTAGGAGAAAGACAAGTTTTAAACAGGTAGTTTTTTTAAATTTGGCTAGAAATATCTGGAAACAGGGCTTGCCAGACTTTCAACTGCCATTTCTGAAAATACAGCAGTAGGGCTTCTGCCAAGGAAAGAGAAGTACGACATTCGTGAATGCTTCCCGTGGAGTTATCACTTCTGTCTTCCCATGACAAATCACCTTTACAATACTTCATTTTATTCCCATAAGAAGGATCCCATTTTACTCTTTTACTTTCAGGAGAATAAACATATATTGAGGTACATTCTCTGCACAGATCCCTGCATCAGTTCCCCAGTTACCATGTTAGGCAGCTATCTCTCAATGGGCTACTCATTCATTTCCACTACAGCACCCACCACTCATTGCTCAGCACTTCTACAAACCAAACGTTTCACCATTCTGCATAGCAACCCCCTTGGTGAAAACAATCAAAGAGACAGAAGAAGTTTTCAGTACTATTCTTACAGCAAAGTACACAGAGGCCTGATTACCCAAGTGTAACACAACAGAAAGCGCAGCAATAATAACAGAACAGCAAGATCCCAAGCTGCAGCAAGTCAGGATTTGCTCAAACGCAACAGCCATGGGCACAGAAATAAAGGAAAGAAGCTGCTTACCTTCAGAATACCCTCAGGTATGCAAGGATCTCCAGCAAGATCCCTCACCTCCACTGCTAACCCTTAAATGAAGTCTGGGAGTGGGGTGGATTCTGGCTCCAGCCCCTTCTGTTCAGCTGCATTGCTTGCACCTGAGCTCCCCTGGGTTAGCCCTGCCTTCCCACCAGGTGCTCAATCACTGATTTATGCCATGACTCAGCGTCACTACACCAAGTAACTCCTAATATGATTTTGTTTCAATAGAAATCTATTCCTAGAAATGTTTTAATGAGTTGAAGTAAAAACCTGAAGCTGCTATAAAACACATGCAAATGCATTTAATGGTAGATATTTGTTACTACACATATTAATTTAAAGGATGTGAAAAATATCCCAGCAAACCTCTCCCTGAATAATTTCAGAGGCCTTTATAAAACTACTAAAGCCAGAATTAAGGAAGTGATGCCATTATAATTATCAAATGTGGCAGAAGATAAGAAATTGCATCAATTTTTGGTGCGATAGTTGGCCAGGGCCATCTAGACTTGTATTTGCTTCCAAGAAGTTTCAAATGCTTTTTAGTTCATTTTAGATTTCAGATTTATATAAAAGACTAGGATTTAAGAAATGTAGGTGTATAATTATTATAACAGCTGCAATTTTCCTAGAAACGTTCAGCCTCATTTGTAAACCACAGTCACAACTCTATTTCAGACCAAACAGTTGAGGTCCAGAAGCAGATATTTACATAACACCCAGAATGATCTATAGCAGTAGCTTTTACCTGAACAAAGAACAAACACACAATTGGAGTACTCACACGTGAGCACAAACATGAAAATTGCTTGAAAATACTCTTTGACAGCTGCTTCCCTCATTAACTAAGAGCTTATCTGGGACATGGAGTCTTTTCAAAAGCTTTGTACCCTGGTTTTGGAATACTTTTCCTATGAAACTCTTTCACAAAGACACATAGGAAAGGTTAAACTCTAATGGAAGTTGTATTTCTAAGAAAGAAAAAAAAATAGAGTTTGAAGATAAAGTTTATCTCACAAAAAGATCACATTGTAAACATTTATATATGAAGAGTGTGGACAAAAGGAACAACTCTGTTATTCACCTACTTTCCACTTGATATATATGTCTATCTTACGATAAGAAATGCAGTTCCCTTCACCTACTTTCTCATTTGCAATGCCTACATGTTCTAACTAAAAAGAAATGACAAATAGCTTTGCAAACATTGCATGTCCAGACCCTCAAAATCTACATTTCCCCAATAATATGAAAAATGAAGCTATCAGAGCTATTTTCCAATTTCTTTGATGCAGCTTCAGGTGATTAAGCCCAACTTCAGATTAAACCATATTAGTATATCATATAAAAAGTCACTTAGAACTCATTCAGATGTGACATTTAACAGGATTTGGGGTATTTATCAATATCTTTAGAAATAGTCTTATGGGAAAATGCAATAAAACTACTCTCTGAAAAGAGCCTTATTTCCAGAACTGCCACCTCAGCAGCACCGTATGTTTTTTACTCCAGAGGTTGATATCCTTCTTATCTGTTTGGCCTGCCTTAATTCTCATTTGTGTGATCCAAAAATCACCCAAACAGCCTGAGATGAGAAGAAGGAAGGAATCAATCACAATGAAAAGATATTGCTTGTAAAACAAAGTCTGAGAAGACAGGCCTCAAAAAGAGGGTTAAAGAAAGATGAAATGTGAAAGAATTTGCATCTTGGAAATGTAATGAAGAATCTCGAAGCAACAGCTACAGCTGCAAATCTGCAAAAATAACTTTAATACCATCTCTGTGCTACCAGCGTCCACTACTTCCAGCAGGATTCAGTTTGGGTTTACCTGGCAATAGGCTTCAGCTCTCCAGCTCCTCACACCACCACCCTCTGCCCTAACAGAGGAACCTTACAACATTCCCATATGATTACTGCTATAAAAACAAGTCAGCTGAACGTGGTGAGTACTCCAGCCTGCGAATGTCATCCTTTCCTACTATACAGCATCACTTTGCCACAGCAGTATTGATTTTTGAAATGCAAGAAGCAGCTCAGCTGGTTTTGATTACCATGTATAAACAGTGACAAAACAAAATAATCTCCAAATTAGAGAGAGAGATTTGATTAAACGCAGACTTCAAATACACTCACTAGCTGCACGAACAGAAAGAAAGTGTGCTGCAGTTTTCAAAATGCTTCTGACTACATGAAGGAAATTATTCAAGTCCTACAGGAAAAGAAATGTTCAGTTGGAAACAAAGGTGCTACGCTATCAATAACACATCTCCATTTGGCAAAGCATTTAAACTGTGTTTTTAGACATGCTCTACACAGCCTTGTGTGCCAGCAGAAAATGCTAAAAAAAAAAAAAAAAAAAAAAAAAAAAAAAAAACCTCTTTAAAGTAAAATATTGGAATTAAATAGACCTGCATAAAGGTGGTGGTGTAGCACTCATCATTTCCTCCCATTTTATGAAACTGAAAAATAGTTATTGTTTAAAATACAAGAAATAAAAGACCTATGTAACAAGAACATACTGACATCTGCTGGCACGCTGGAAGAGCATTTCACTAGGAGATGAGGTTTTAATGTCCTCACCCTTATTCTTATTTAACAGTGCTGCATAATAAATTTATATTGTCCATATTTTAATATAGTAAATGAATAAAATATTCTATACTTCCAAATGCTGAAGCGTGCCTGACATCTGCAGTTCTGCAGTGCACATAAATGTGCTTCTCTTCCACATTTGATCTCTAAAGTACCACAGGAAATAATTTGTGCCCATGTTGTATAAAAATGCTCAGCGATAAGTCTGCATTCTAATAATTATTTCCCTAATTTCTTCCTCAACAAAAGACCAGTATTACCAATTCAGTATCCAAGCATATAACCACAGCCATCATTCAGGCAGGTCTCACAACAGTACATGCTGTTTCACAGTAGCAGCTAGCAAATTAAGAGAACAGATTCTATTTGTATCAGCACCGTAGCAGAAGATAGGAACATACATAACACACTCAGCACGGTTGGGTTGGAAGGGCCCTCTCAGCCTCCAGCCCCAGCCCTGCCGTAGGCTGGCTGCCCCCAGCTCAGGCTGCACAGAGCCCCTCAGTGGCCTCAGCCACAGCTCCAGGCAGCAATGCCAGCCCCTCACCACCTCTCAGAGAAAAATGTACCCCTGACATCTCACCCAAATCTCCCACTTGCCCTATCACTGTCTGCCAGTGTAAAAAGTTCCTTTCCCACCTGTTTACGAGCTTCCTGGGAAGGCTGCAAAGTGTCCCCAGTCCTCTCTTCTTCAGCCTGAATACCCCAAGCTCCCTCAGCCTTTCTTTGTAGCAGAGGTGCTCCTGCCCCCGATCATCCTTGTGGCCTCCTATGGACCTGCTCCAACAGCTCCCTGTCTTTCTTGTGCTGGATACTGTACTAATCATTTAGCAAATCACATCCCCAGAGTAGCACCTAAACATACTGGATAAGATCCTTGGTGTCATCCACCACCATCCCTATGGGTATTCTCACAACCAGGATGCAGTCCCCAGGACTGAGCAGGCTTCAGAACTACACGTCAAAGTCAGATCTTCTAGTTAACGCAGCTCCTAAAGCAGCTATAACTTGGCATCATTGTGAATATAAAATACTCTGTAAATCATCACATATTTCTGAGTTTATTATCTGAAATATTTGCCATCTATTCCTTTAATGCTCGCTGTTGGAATCACAGCTTAAAGTTTCCTCCCTCACGCGTGCTATAATGCAAAGTTATGGTTAATAATTTAAATGGAAAATAGAAGAAATTCAGAATTATGGTTCATATTGACTGAGCAACTCAGATGTGTCACAGATCCATACTGAGGCAAAGATTTAGTATTAGAAACAGTGATACACAGCACTTGAACAATTGCTAAGCTGTGCTCAGTGGAAATGATATATACTGTCCTTAATATTTTGTGTTTCCAAATCAACCATCAGCTGCAAGGTCACTTCCTTTTATCAGCTAATTAGCTATGTACTTGTTGAATTTCAGAGATGTGAAAGAACGAATGAAAACACCAAATTCACATTTCTAAAACATTAGTTGTGTGTATTTTCACTGTATGCAATCAGGTATTTTAATGCATGCCCAAACCAGTATCTGCATCTCCTAGGCTAGACATACTACCAGTGGCAGCAGTCTTTAAACATGAAAACATACACAAATCTCACCCTTGCAAATGTTTGATTAACCTTACAGCCCATTAGAAGACAAACATGTGATCCTGACGAGGAGAAGCAGAAGCAGTGCCAGCTTGCTCACATCTGCACGTGGCAGCCATGGAGCAATAGGTCCTGCAACTTTCTGCCTGCAGCAAGAAGTCAGTATGCAGCAACTTCTGAAGCAAAGCAAACACACGGCAATGCAAAACCAAAACTCAGCGACCCTATAGCTTGCCAGGGAACAGAGCTGACAGCCCCACTGACACACAGAGGGACCCAGAGATGTGGCTATTAATGCACTGCACAGCATCAGCATGGGAGCAATCATTCATAATCTTCAGAACCAAACTACTCACACTCTCAGCAGCAGCCACTGTCCAATTCACATGTCCAGCTATCACAAAAAGCAACAGGTCAGCCCGGGACATCAGTCATTCCTTCCCCTCCAGCCTCATCATCTGCAGGTGTGCAGATTCCACATCCTGAGATGAGGCACTTCTTGCTGTGGCAGCACCTTGTGCAGAAGGACCACCCAGCCTGAAGTGTCAAGCTTTAATAGCACTGCATTATAACATTCATTTGGAATTCCCTTTCAATTTCCTCATTTGAGACAGTTTTATTAAATTATTTAAACTTCTAATATATTAAACATCAGCAGAACAGATTATTAAAAAGAAAAAAATAGAAGAAACAAAGAAAAGAAACAAAGGGGAACATGGTAACTCCTACTCTTTAAAATGACATCTAAACCAATATCTGATGGTTCCAGCTCCACTACAAATTGTTCTGATGAGTACTGGAAGACTTAAGGAGGGAGGCAACAAGAGGACTCCAC